TTGGCAAGAATTGTTATTCGCCGATCGAGTTTCTCTTGTATAGCCTTATTGAAGGCTCCACCGTTTTGTACTACAGAAACATCGTCTGAATGTTGACTCGTCCCTCACAGTCTGCTATATTTGGACCGCAGATATTCCTAGAAGAGAGGGAAGCAGTACAAACACAATATTTGTGTACAAGCCAGGCGGGAATCGCTCGACTATAAACTATAAACAAGACGTGGGCTGGTATCCAGTGTAAACTCTGTCGACGGATTAGGTTAAGTGTACAGACCTAGTCCAAGCTTGTCTTGGCTTCGATTGTGAGTTCGAGCCACATTTAAGTGGTTTTATTGGGCATCTAGACGAAGACCCAGTCAATACAAATAAATTTCTGCCCAATGAGAAATAAGGATTGTTGTTAAGAGAAACACAATAGGGCGTTTAGTGTAAATGTAAATAAAAAGTAACAAAGTACTGTGTTGAGAAATTTGAATATCAATGTAACCAACAATAATACAAAGATTTCGTTAGCCCTTGCTAAATTGAATGAGGAATATTTTAAACGTATATGTACATTTGGGAGGAATATATAAACTCAGAATTTGGGGTAGCCTACTCCTCCAAAGGTTATAGGCTACTTAGCGTACCGGTAAGTTTTGACCAAGACTGTTTATTAAAGAAAACATAAGGACGACTGAGTCCAGGTTTGAACCATCTCAGGACCGAACCAACGAAATTTGATTAGACGAACACGACGTCCACTCGACTACGCACTTGCTGTGGAAGCTTGACCAAGCTTGACTCTGTAAGGGCGCATTGATTGGGGAAATCCTAGAAACAACAAACCAAGAGAGCTGGGCCCAGTTTCGAACCATCAAACTGCTCAACTTTTCTCAGGATCGAACCAACGACCTTAGATTACAAGGAGAACACTATATTCACCCATCTAAGCATCTATATACCACAAAAGATGGCGGATTCAGACGATTCAGTGAGAAAATCCCGCTGGAAACGCGCCGGGCGACAACAATCGCGCCATGAAAACAACGCATGCGCAGAGGACGACCGACGCGCAAGGTCGTCCATCAGTCACCCAACATGCGCAGGACGAGTAGTAGCGGCGGCGCATGAAAGGGAACCGAGATGCGCAGCTTGGGTAGTACCACAGCCATGAAAGGCTGCCGCTCCCATTTATTATTCTGGTGGGCAATATTTAAATCGCTCCGACCTGCCGGGCACCCGTTACCTAATACGATCTTTGGGGGTTTTCGATTTTTCACGTTAACGTTCTTTGGTTTGTATGGTGAATAATGGAGGTCTTCTAGTGTTCTTGGTAGATGTATTAATTATAATGGAGGCTACAACATGTTGTATTGGCAAGTCTGCGCATTGGACTGAACGTGCTAGGACAGATCGGAGTTTATATTCTGTTTACAGACGATGTATTATGTACATGTAGCATATTGGGTGTGCTCTCTGCTATGTAACCTAGTTTTCCTTCCGCCACCAGGTAGGAATGCGTCTTGTCAGTACACCAAACACCAAACGTGTCGTTTTGGTCCAGAAATACATTAGTACACTAAAAAGGACCTCATACCGTTTCGGGATGAATGTACTGTACTCATTACATTACGTTGAGGAATGGACATAAGTCTGAGTAGCATACGAGCAATTTAACCAGAATACGAGTGAAGTATGAGTGTAGAACATCGATATATAAACACAATATATATCGATGGTGTAGAATAGAATGACATGTCTTGTGTGACTTTAACAGATCAGCTGTTTTGTCAAGACCATTTTTAAAGACCAATGAAAAATTCCTGTTTGACATTTTCAACCGAAAACCTTCTCCTCCTAAACATAGTTTGTGGAGCAAGTATCGGTATTGTTATCATGTTTTCGAGTATGGGTTTAGGTGGAAATATCTGTTTTGGGTCCCCCTGAACCCAATAGAGCGGTTAAGATAAATCATCCACACATAATAAAGTGTGTTATGGCCCTTTTAACACTAAATAAAATGTTGCAACCCCCTTTACTGTAAAAAGTACTGTTTTACCCATAGAATTAATAGCATAGTTACTCCCACCATAAGGGACCTGCTAATGGGAGAAAATATGTGGCTAATTGCCGTTTATTAGAATTATATGGTACAGTCTGGGTTAATAAATCAATATACAAAATCACGTTGACTGAGGATTTAAATATTTTCTTAAGATACGTCATAAGATATTTAGCACTGCGATTTACCTCTCTAGTGTCAGACATAACAAGAATGTTCAATAAGCTGAATCACACCAAATTTAGCACAAACATTCACACATTGATGCACCGAGTCGCGAGTACTGGTGTGTGCGCGTGCGCAGGTCACCGATAACGTCATTGTCACGTGGTACACAGACGCCAGTCAGCTGTTGATTGTTTACTAAACAGCTGGTCGCTTTAACTACACTTGTCTGGAACCATTGTTACAATATGACGCCATACGTATACACATAATCTAATTATGAATGATGGATTGTTGTAAACAAGGAGTCTTGGTTTAGATTTATATTTTAAAGAATCACGTATATTTCAGCGGGTTAATTTTATTGAGGTAATGTAGATTGTGTTATTTGAAACATATATTTCAGTTTTGAGGTTATGTTACCGAAGTACTTATAAGATTGCGCCCAAACAATATACTTCAAAGAGCTATAAAGAATGGATAAATTGTTATTACGCTTATTTTAGTTAACTATTATTATTTCGTAGGGTAGATTTTATAATATTTTTACCTTTTTCTTATTATTAAGGGACGTGCAGTTGTTTCCCTATAAGCCCTCAAAAGCATAGACCTATATTTAAAATATGATTCCAAAACGTACGTCTAAGCTTACTATTTCTATCTCCAGTGCTGGTAACATTAACTACAATAGCAATAATAACCCAACGAAACCAAAATCTAATAAATCACAAACACACAGAAATTCCAAAATTCTTCAACAACCCCGAAGGAAAGAATTTACAGAATTACAAAAGCGAGCGATTCTCAACCACGAAGTTTGCACAAGTGGTTAATATTGTACCAAAGCATATCCCACATCCCAGCATTCCACACTGGAATGTTCCGTGAAATCAGTTTAAACTGATAAAAACGCAGTGAACACCTGACATGGCGGGTCGGCGCTACAAAGCGTCGGCTGCTACAGGAGAATAAAGCCCGAGATGTTAGGTTCCAGGTAAATGCAATCCGGGCACAATAGTCCTTCAGGGAAGCTACGCGGCAGCTGGCGCGGGCAGCGGGCTTCTAGGGAATTGGGAATTTGGAAGTTTGAACACCAGACGGTTTTTGGAATGACTCGCTTAATCTCCTGTGAAACGTGTTAGCATACACGTCACGCTGTGTGGTTTGCACTGGATATCCTTTTGAACATGCGGCCCTTGAACCAATTGAATACTTTTCTGGTATGCAAGAGATGTTGGCGTACGTGATTTTTGGACAATCCAAATTGACACATATTTTGAGATTTAATCCTTGAACCGAATGAACTTAGTTCAGATCGTTCATATCTAATGTATCTATGTAAGTAAATCGGTCCCGGGTCTAGGTATTTCCTTATGGGAAATAGCTTCAGTAATATAAGTTAAAGAAAGAGCCTTTAGCTAGGGAAATTCGCTCTACGGCGCACTCGATGCATATTAAAAGTTGTTCAACCTGTTGATCGTTTCAAGAAGCATTTCTCTTAGCGTAGTACTGTTAAGAAAAGTATTGGTATGAAAAGTAGTGGTTACGTTTATGTGCAGTAGGGGCCTATTCATTTATTTAAGTTTTATTAGATTCTCTTTTCTGTGGGAAACTTGAAATCCAAGAAACAAATCATTTTATTTGCCATCACTAAAAATCTTATTTGATCGATCTACAAAAGTCAACAGTGGCTCGTTCTTTGACGGAATTAAGTGATGAACCGATGTACGTAAAGCTTGTTTGTTCACCCGTTTAAACTTAAACATTGATCGTACAACAAAAGATATTGCAGTAAAATGTTGTATGTGCCACAAACAATGCCGCAATTATGACTTGAATTCACAATAACATAGAGATAACACCCTCCACAATAATTCATGACAAAGTTACCTCAACCCATAAATCAATCTAGCCAAAACAGACAAACACACTGGCAAACGCAATCCCGTCATCCCGATCTCCACCCTACAACCTATACGCATAACAGCTGGCGGGTTGTGTTGCGGTACCGTTTATTTTGGCCGAGGCCGCCATAATTATGAAACAGAGACAGTAAGTTTCGACATTTATCGTGCAGGGATGCTGCCAACAGCTGATGTTTTCAGCTCGGACTGTACACGGCCCTAGGTGAGATCTGTGGTTCTCGGAACTGCCTAGGAGGGACAGAAGGGAGACTACCCTACGTGATAAAACGCTTCCTGCCACCTTTCGATGCACTCGAGGAATTTCAAGTGAAAGTTGGGGATATAGTTTGGGATGCACAATATTTTATTGGGTTACGCCTAAACCTCGGAAAAACTCCAATACAGTATTAGTATTTGTTTTTGCGATTTCAGCGTTGGATTCCATACTAGATTGTAGTTAGGGTTTGCCAAATAGTATCACAACATAATCCTATCAAAATGCGATTCTGTTGCATTTCTATACTATATGCTCATCTTTCTCTTTAGTAATTTAAAAGCGTGTAGAAGAAATTGCAGTAGTAAGATGTGTTACTGAAGTCAAAAGAAGCTCACTTGAATTAATCCACAAGGAAATCATGAATGTAAACTACCTACGATCATAAACCAAAGGCGTTCAACTTTCCAAGTCACTTTCAAGATCCTTCACCATAAATGGTGGTCGTGGAATGACCTTACAACAGACAAAACGAGCAATACTTGAAGACAACAGTTCCATGGGGAAACTGAGAGTACAAATCCTACGACACCAAATGGGTTTTCAGCTTTCGCACACAAATTTTCCGTCACCAATCCCGCCTTACAATAATTGACAATAGTTGGACACTCACCAGTAAATTGTTTATATCCACTTAATATCTTGGTTTTCCACCACCGGACAAGGTGTGTAGCCATGCGGTAGTCGTTCATCGACGCTTGACACATGAGTACCACATATGCACAACACTCGCTCACTTCCACATGCTTCGCGCTAGCTCCGCTCGAACCTCTACTCAACCGCTGACTGAGTCGAGTCGACCGAACGCTCTCCCCTCCCCACTCCGCGCTCTCTCACTCTCGGCTATTATCTCTGGCGGCGACTATAGAGGCCCCCTCCCTCTTACAAAAAATCCTTTTTTATCTTTTCTTTTATTATGCTCAATCTCTCCTTTGGCGGCGTGGCGCGCCGTCCTGCCCGCTTGTCGCTGACCGCCGGGCTATTTGTCACTTCGGCACTGTACGGGAATGCTCTTACCCTTTCGGGATTGTAGGTGGTCGCGTACGTAGAACATGTGAAAAACTGTACATTGAAAAGAACAGAAACAGTCAAAGTAGATAAAATGTAACGTCTTGAAATACGCTCAAACAATGGGCCACAGAAAATGCTTCCAAAAGTCCTACGTGTTCCAGATTACAGAAAATCCCACAATATTAGTTGTTGTTCTGTATCGTACAATTTAGATGTTGTTCAGTAACATTCCACAACATTAGGGTTCTAGAACAACCGACAACATTATAGCTTTTTCTAGAACATTCCGATTAGAGTTTGTTCTAGAACACCCCACAACATTCAAATTGTTCTAGAACATTCCAGAACATTAGGGGTCGTTCTAGAACATTCTACAACGTTAGAGTATGTTCCAGAACATTGGTGGTTGTTTGAAAACATCCCACAACATTAAAATTGTTCTAGAACATCCGACAACATTAGATGTTGTTAAAAAAATGCTGCTCAATCTCTTCAGTATTTTTACCATAATTTTCTAAAAGGACGAATCTTTCAGCCCTTATATCTTCAAAAGACCGCCTTCCACAAAAACGGGTACTTTCTTCGTGAACGGGGAAGTTTACCATGAAACATGTCACATACATCCCTTAATCATTCCAGGACTGTATTCTGAGTGTCAGCAGGCCGCAAATTGTACAATTATTCATTTGATCATTTACTGTAGGATTTTTTCCATAACTGCTACCAAATTGTTAAAGTTGAAATCTAACTCTTGGAGACAGTGATGCTAAAATGCAAACTGCACACAATATCGCTAAATAAACCTGTGGTTGCTATGTATATTTTACTACTATTTATATTATACGTTGTCAACAAAAACAATGTAGTCAAGTTCGGTGGATTGGAAGATGAGACATTTCGCTTGTGGCTTACATAGGTACCCACTTTGCACATTCTTTGATATTACCACACTTAAAGGATAGTATACACTGTTATAGTTATAGACATTAGGCCACTTTTAAAATATTGTTTTTACACATTATGGTACTAGTTGGTGTTTGGAAACTTGTACAATTATATCACTCTTATTTATCTTTGGACTTTATAGAACCTTCTAAAATACTATTTTAGACATTATGGGACTGTCTGAAAATATTTGAAACCATGACACTTACACATTGTATAACACTAATTGTTTAAGACGTCATAATTATTTGAAACATTTTGTTTTTGAACAAAGCGACTAGTCGATAATGTTGGACATTATTAAACGTCTCTATAGCCATAATTGTCATCGTAGGATATTCATGTAAACCCGTGCTTAGATATTACAGTGGTGGGCACGTGTAAAGTCAAACATGAAATTGCAGCACAGTATTGCAGTAGGCGGTGGTCGACGGCCGTGTGGCCGATAGGATTACCTGTGTGTGTGTGTGTGAGTGTATACAAGTCTGTGTGTGTCCGTGTTGGTGAACATCAAAGACGCCGCCACAATCGCTAGATTGCCGCGAAGACTTCGCAGTTAAACACTACGTACGTTAATGTTTTCCTTCAGTCATTAAAAATCTGTTACGCACACAGTTTAGAAATTATTAACGCAGTAAATAAAGTTACCCCTGTGCTGCCTTGGAACCGGTTCCGTTCTTGTGTCACTGAGCACCAATGTTTTGTGTAGTTTGCATTTATTAGAAGAGATGTAGGAACCAGGAAGAGGCATTTTAATGTACCAACGACCGTTTAAGCTTATCTTTCGACCATAGAACGTTATACAGGTTGATGCAATGAGAAAGGCCTAATTTTCTTCTCCTGCCACATGATAATGCAACAATGAATGAAACAGCTGTTTTTGTAGGTAACTTCAATAATCAAACTGTTTAGTAATTTCAGTAAAAATGGTAGGGGTTATTAACGACGTCGATTTTCTGTAGTGACCTTTTTTAAGAATGACATTTCTTTTGCGAAGACCCAGAAATTGTTCGGTCCTCATTACATCGTCGGATGGCGCTATTCCAGATCGGAAAACGATCAGGAACTGGCTAAAATTATTTTTAATAGCAGCTTGAACCCTTACAATAATCGGTGGAAGCCGAAAACCCCTTGGTACATGTGGGAAAAGTGCGAGTCGCAGTAACTCGAAGTTGCCAGGAAACATTCGTTGTTGGCGTTGTTGCAATCTTTTCTTTAGATATTTTCTTTCTGTGTGGGTCTCCCTACAAGCCATTTTAAGTCGCACCGGAGATTTTCTTGAACCCAAGTTAAGAAATAATTCCTCAGCAAATTTTAGTTATTTCTGAATAAATGGTGGAACGAATATTCGATGGAGTTTTCGAGCGAAAGAATGTCAAGAGGACAAGGATGTCACTTGAAGGACGTTGTTTTCGAGAAATGGATACGGTAATCAAGTTGCCCGTTTAAATTAAGCAGAGTTAGTTAACGCCGAGGGTTTTCATTTCACAATGTACCCATAGTGGTGCTGACATTTCCCCACGTCCCCACAGTGGTACCGACATTTCCCCACGTCCCCATGGTGTTACTGATATTTCCCAACGTCCCCACAGTAGTTCCGACATTTCTCCACGTCCCCACAGTAGTGCTGGCATTTACCCACGTCCCCACAGTAGTGCTGGCATTTACCCACGTCCCCACAGTAGTGCTGGCATTTACCCACGTCCCCACAGTAGTGCTGGCATTTCCCAACGTCCCCACAGTAGTGCTGACATTTCCCCACGTCCCCACAGTAGTGCTGGCATTTACCCACGTCCCCACAGTAGTGCTGGCATTTACCCACGTCCCCACAGTAGTGCTGGCATTTCCCAACGTCCCCACAGTAGTGCTGACATTTCCCCACGTCCCCACAGTAGTGCTGGCATTTCCCCACGTCCCCACAGTAGTGCTGATATTTCACCACGTCCCCACAATAGTGCTGGCATTTCCCCACGTCCCCATGGTGTTACTGATATTTCCCAACGTCCCCACAGTAGTTCCGATATTTCCCCACTTCCCCACAATAGTGCTTGCATTTCCCCACGTCTCCACAGTAGTGCTGGCATTTCCCCACGTCCCCACAGCAGTGCTGACATTTCCCCACGTCCACATGGTGGTATTGACATTTCCCCACGTCCCCATTGTGGTACTGCCATTTCTCCACAATCCTGCACTATTACTACTATTTCCCCACAACCCGGTACTAGTACCAACATTTCCCCACTACCCTGCACTAGTACCAACATTTCCCCACTACCCTGCACTAGTACCAACATTTCCCCACGTTCCTGTACAGGTGTGGCGCGCAGAAGACGACGGTAACTCAGGCGCGGGCTGCAGCTGTCGCCCGCTACGCTAATTTCCGATTTCCCGGCCCGACCTTAGATGTTGCCGCCACAAAAACAGGTTGCCAGCCGACCGGTCGCCCCCCTCCCCCATCATAACACAATCTCTCTCTCTCCCCCCCTCTCTCTCTCTCTCTCCACTCTCCTAGGAGGCCGGTGCGGCGCTGTGTTCTTAGAAAAATTGGAAACGTGATGGACTGTAGGAGTTCCGTAAACCCTGCTTTGTGGATGTTTTGTGGCATCGGAATTTTAAATGTTTAACAGTACATGTATAACTTTATTCGGTACTACTAATCTTAATAATCGATCGAGAATGGCTGAGGACATAAACATTAAAACCCAATTTTAGTTAAATTTGGCAAAAGGGGTGAAAAGACGCGAAAAATGTGTGAAATTCGGCTGAGGATTGCAATATCCTTGTTTAACATCTCAATATAGTTTTGGGTTTTAGTCCAAGTTGTCCCTCAAATATCTGAGAGTATACCGAACTGAATTACCTGTTTTGACTTGACAATTCAAGAATGCTTGGTTCCATACATTACTGTGTTTTGCTCACAGATGCGCTCAAGTCCTGAAGGGAGTATTCATTCATACTTATTTTCTATTCTATACATAATATAAGGCACATAGAAATACTCGCTGCAGGGGAAGTACTCGCATGAGCACCGGCCTTGGTCTAAATCCTTCCATCGCCAACGGATTTCCCAACTTAAAAGAGCATTAAAATTAATTATAAGAGAAGAGACGGAATATTTATGGGGGTTATAAAACAAAGTCTGCTAGAGGTTTGCTTAGATTTTTGTATAAGTATGGTTTCAGTACTAATAAAATCACCGAGTTTTAATCAAATATCTACGAATTTAGTATAAAGAAATCTTGATTGAAACACTTCAATACACTACTTCACTTTTGTTACAATAGGCATATAGTTTTTCGATTCAATATAAGAGCAACAATACAACAAAAACTAAAAAAAATACCGAATCACCAGAGAAAAATATTTTCCTGTAGGTGAATTCCTAAGACGCTCCTCCAAAACAACACGACCTACGAAGCTCTTCCGTGACACGTACACGCTGGCACCGCTGCGTGGCAGAGGCAGGGATGGCACGATGTGGCAACACTGCGCAGGTAGATGTGGCAACGCCGCACCACAGCGTATAGTTAGGCGCGGGGCGGGTAGTAATTGGTGGCGTAGCGCGCCGGCGGCAACGCTTTGAAGCGCCGACGCGCTCCGCCGGCCAGTAGCCGTGCGCTCAATCTTTGATTCCCGGCAAAAATGACAAGTCGTCATTGGAGATCAAAGAGGCCGCCTGCGCGGTCACCGCGGCTGCGCAGTGAGGTTGCGCGGAACACGTAGTTACGAGACATGCGTATCACACGTTTGTGATTGCAAAGCGGTTCATCAATTACTTGGACTGTACAATGATTTTACACATAAAAACATTTATTTCT